ATTTTTTCATAAAAAAATACCCAGACGATGCACAGTGTTGTATTCATCACCTGCTGTGTTGTACTCAACATCAAGACCCCAACTGAATGAAGGATGATGAGTATTCTTAATTATTCATCAACTTATAGGTACCAACACAGTGACTGAATGATGAGTTTTTTCCTCTTTTATCAGGTGGTTGAGGTAAGATAACTGTTAGACTCACAAGCAAGAAGACAGAAGATAAGCTGATCATCACTCCAGGGAATCTCATTCTCCAAAACGGTGGTCGTGGCTCTAGCGTCTTGGTGACAATGTTGACGGTTTTCTTTTTGATGTGGGAGAGCCGGGCAAGATACTGGGGTCGGGGATGCTCCTCTTGAATGTCGAAGCCGGTGAGGTCCCAACGATGTGTTATCTCGGCAGAGTAGCGCTTCCACATCTCCAGAAACAATGCGGCTGAAAAAAAATCTATACTGCAACATTACTGTTGAAATAACCAGATTTTTTTTACCATGCTGAAATGATCTTTGTGCTTAATTATCGTATTTTTTAAATCACGCCAGCCATCTCCCACTAAGGCAGGGCGACCCAAAAAAAATAAACACTTTCATCATCACTCACTTCATCACTGTCTTGCCAGAAGGGTGCTGACAATACAGTTCAGTTGCCCCTCCAAACTGCAATATCACCGCTTATCCTTCAGAGTGTAGGAACTGTACTTCTCACCTCCAGGACTCAAGTCCAGCTAATCTAGTTCCCTGAATCCCTTCATAAATGCTGCTTTGCTTACATTCCAACAGCACTTAGTCATAAAACTACTTGCCTCCACTTCCATCTAGCACACTCACACAAGCCTGTTGGATGTCCAAGCCATTTGCATACAAAACCTCCTTAACCAACTTTTCCTAGGATAACCCTTACCCATCCTTCCCTCCACTACATATTTATACACTCTCCAAATCATCCTATTTCACCTTCCCAATCTAAATGTCCAAACCATCTCCATAACCCCTCCTCAGCCTTCTGGATAATACTTTTACTAACCCCCACACCTCCTCCTAATCTCTAAACTGCAAATTCTCTGCATAATATTGACACATTGAACATGCACCTTGCTCTTTCCTGTGTTCACTTTTAACCCTTTGAGGGTCGACAGGCCCTCTGAGACTTGTTCTCAGGGTCGGCCAAATTTAACCCTTTGAGGGTTTCGGCAGTACTAGTACAGCTTACGACACAGGGTTTTTGACGTACTAGTATGCCTAAATTCTAGCTCCCTCAAATCTAGCAAGAGAAAGCTGGTAGGCCTACATATGAAAGAATGGGTCTATGTGGTCAGTGTGCACAGTATAAAAAAAATCTTGCAGCACACAGTGCATAATGAGAAAAAAAAAAAAAACCTTAACGTTTTTTTTTGGAATAAAACAGCGACTTTGCATTGTATTTCATATGAGTATTTAATTGTGGTACTTAGTTTTCTTGGACTCATTTTATAGAATGGAAGACTATTACAGAAACTGAGATGATTTTTGATGGTTTTTACAATGAAAAAGCTACCTTGAAATTGAGCTCAATGTAGCGAAATGTTCGATTTTTTACCAAAGTTCAAAAGTATAAAAATCAGGCAAGCAGTCCAATAGCGCTTCAACTGGCGAGACTAATATTTCTTTCGCACGTGCGCCATATATTATTTATATCATTTTTTACACTAATGCAGTAGGTCTGCATAACAGTAAATCGTCTATTTTTGGTTGAGGAATAAAAATTCAAAAGTGGGAAAGCATAAAGAATAAGTAAGAGAGGCCTTGAGACGTGACTAATGAACAGAGGAAAATGTTCATTTTAGTGCAGGAATGTCTTGTTTATTCTGGACCCTATTCAGGAAATTGGCATCTTCTTTGAAATTTGTGTGAAATGGCAAATTTGCTAAATTCTGGACTACTTACTGCGATAGTTGAATATTGGTTAAATGGGTGTTTCTTGCACTCATTCAATAGAAAAATGGAGTTCTGCGAATATAATGTTTTTTATCGACTAGTACAGTGGATCTGGCTCGAAAATGGGGTTCAAAAGGGGCAAAATCACAGATGCGGTAAACATCGCCGAGACGCTAACTTCGGCGAGAGCATATACCGTAAGTTTTTCCATCAAATTTTCATACTTTGGTGTCATTATGATTGGGAAAAGATTCTTCTAATCTTTTCATAAGAAAAAATATTTTTTTTTTTTTAATTTTGGCCAACCCTGAGAACGAGTCTCGGAGAGGGCCTGTCGACCCTCAAAGGGTTAAAAAAAAAAATCGTTTTTTTTTTTTTCTTCATTATGTTACTGTGTGTTGCAGGGTTGTTTTTTTATATGCACACATGACCACATAGAACACGTTCTTTCTACGTATGCCTCCAGTTTCTCTCACTAGATTGAGGGCGCTAGAATTTAGGCTATAGCATGTCAAAAAACCTGGGTCGTATAACCATATGTCGGACCGAAACCCTCAAAGGTTAATTTCCTTCTTTTACATTCATCTTCATGTATCTTAATTATCTTACAATGTGCAGTTACACAACTTCACCTATACTATTGTTTATTTTTAGTTTGTTTAATCTTAAGTCTGCATAAAATGATTAGCACAACTATGTTCATTACAACTATGTTCATTGTAGGTAGTAGGTTGGTTGACTGCAATCCCAGGGACCGGTACTACCGTCCTGCCAAGTGTGATGCTGTAAATCGAAGCTGTGAGTTGTTTTACATGATGGTAGGATTGCTGATGTCTTTTGTCTGTCTCATAAATATGCAAGATTACAGGCATGTCTTGCTACTTCTACTTACACTTAGGTCACACTACAATACATGTACACATTTATTTATTACACACTCTTCTGTGTTATCTTTGATTTTATCTAAGAGTTCTTGGTCTTATAATTTCCCTTTATATCATGGGGAAGTGGAATAAGATCTTTACTCCGTAAGCCATGAGTGTTGTAAAAGTCAACTAAAAAATGCGGTAGGGAAACAATGGGTAGTAACCCCTTTTCTGTAAAGATACTAAAAGAATAAGAAAAAGAAAATTGTCAAAGTGGGAGTCTGAATGTGCGTGGATGTTGTGAGATGATAAGAAAGAGATGATTGTGGAATGTTATGATGAAGAAGGAAGCTGGATGTCCTGGCTTTAAGTGAAACAAAGCTGAAGGGGGTGGGAGAGTTTCAGTTGGAGAGAGGAATAAATGGGATTAGGTTCATGGGGGTTTCAAATAGTGTTAGAGACTAAAGAAGGAAAGTTGCAATAATGTTGAAGGATAGCTATGGCAGGAAAGAGGGACTATAAATGTTATTAATTCAAGTATTATGTGGAGTAAAATAAAGATTGGATGTGGAAAAGTGGGTTATATAAGCGTGTATGACACCTGGGAGAAGAGAGAAGTGTAGGGAGAGAGTGAGATTTTGGGGAAATGTTGAGTGAATGCGTGGTGAGTTTTGAATCAAGTGTGAGCGTTAATGGTGGTTGGGGATTTTAATGCTAAGTGGGTAAAAATGTTATGGAGGGAGTAGTAGGTTAAATTGGGGTGCCAGGGGTAATTGTAAAGGGGGAGCTTTAATTGAGCATGTGTCGTAGAAAGAAATTGGTAATAAGTAATAATATTTTATGAAAAAGAGGATAATTAAATATACAAGGTATGATGTATCACGGAATGAAAGTTAGTTTATTAGATTAGTATTGGTGGATAAAAGGTTGTTGGGTAGTAGGCTCCAGGATGTACATGTTTATAGAGGGGGCAATGATATATCGGATCATTATTTAGTTTTTGTAAGCTACAGTTAGGTAAGTGGGTAGATGGGAAAAGAGGAAGGTGGCAACAACAAGTCAAGAGGGAAGTGAAAGTGTATAAAACTAAGGGAAGGAGGAAGTTCGGGTTCTGAGATATAAAGCGACTATGGCAGGAAAGGTGGGCTAGTGCACAAGATGAGTAGTGGGGGGTTGAGTGGGTTGGAATAGTTTAAAATGCAGTATTAGAATGTGGGGCATAAGTTTGATGGTTATAGGAGGGTGGGGGGCAGGAGGAAAGTCGGAGTGATTGGTGGAATGATGAAGTAAAGGTGTTGATAAAAGAGGAAAAAGGTTAGCTTATGAGAGGTTTTTACAAAGCAGAAGTGTTATAGAAGAGCAGAGATATGTGGAGAGTAAAAGAAAGGTAAGAGAGTGGTGAGAGGAGGGCAAAAGGAGAGCAGATGATAGAGTGGGAGAGGCACTGTTCAAGAAATTTTAAATGAAAATAAGAAAAATTTTGGAGTGAGTTTAAACAAGTAAGCAAAGGCCTAGGGAAAAATTTGGATTTGTCAGTTAAAAACAGAGTAGGGGAGTTTGTAGTGGGGAGATGGAGGTATTGGGTAGATGGCGAGAATATTTTGAGGTAACTTTTAAATGTAAGGAAGAACTGAGGCAGTAATTTCATGCACTGGTCTGGGAGGTATACATTCTTTTAGGAGTGCCAGTGAAGAAGAAAGAGCAGAATGTAAAGTGTGGGGAGGTACGGGATGGCATTTCGTAAAATGAAAGGGGGTTAAAGCAGCTGGAACTGATGGATCATGACAGAAAGGTTAAAAGCAGGGGGGGATATAGTGTTGGAGTTGGTTGGTACTTTTGTTGAATAAAATGTATGAAAGAGGGGAAGGTACTAGGGATTGGCAAGAGATGTATTAGTCCCTTTATATAAAGGGAAAGGGACAAAAGAGACTGTAAAATTTAGAGAGAATAAGCTTTACTGAGTATACAGGACAAATGTACGTACTAGTTATAATTGAAAAAAATGAGAATTTGAGGTAAGACAGGAATGTAGGATTGCGGTGACGCAAGGAGGTTTTAGAGTGGGTAGGGGATGTGTAGATCAGGTGTTTACAATTTGATGGGGGCCCCCCCTTTATGTGAACAGTATTTAGATTAAAGATAGGAAGATTTTATTGCATTTATGGATTAGAAAGGATATGATAGAGAGGATAGAGGGCATTGTGAAGATGTATGCAAGTATATGGAATAGGAGGTAAGTTATTAAATGCTGTATAGAAGTTTTTATGAGGATGTGAGCTCAGGGTAGGGTGTTGTAGAAGGAGAGGAGGCTACTTCCCGGTTAAAAGTAGGGCTTAGACAGGGATGTGTAATGTCACCATGGTTGTTTAATAAATTTATAGATGAGGGTTGTTAAAGGAAGTAAATGCTAGGGTGTTTGGGAGAGGGGTGGGATTATATTATGGAATCAAATCAAAATGGGAATTGACCAGTTACTTGTGCTGAGATACTGTGCTTATGGAGATTTAAACGAAAAATTGCAAGGTTAGAGGATGGAGTTTGGGAATGTGTGTAAAGGTAAAGTTGAAAGTGAACATAGAAAAGAGTAAGGTGTTGAGGGTGTCAAATGATTTAGATAATGAAAATAGGATATCAAATTGGGGAGGAGGAGTATGGA